ACTAATAAACCACTCGAAGATCAATTTTCGGTTCTTCGTTTTACCCAAGTTTTTTCAAAGCTTGTTACCATAATTTTTAATTTTTAGTAAAAATGTTATTATAAAAAAATTTTTTTTTAAAAAAAAAATTTCAAATAAAAATTTTATCGATCGAACTTAATTAAATTAATTCCGACTTTAAAAAAATTATTATTAAATAAAAAAAAAAGAAAAAGCATTTGGTTCAACAATAAGGCAAGCGTTGCATAAAAAATTTAACTCCCGCATTTATCATGTGCCAAATTCGTTTTAACGCATTAATTCCTTTTCTATCAAACAAAGGATTACCCGATTGTTTAAATCGTTTAATTTTTTTCGTAAATTGGTGTGTTACCAGGATTTTTTTTTTTTTAAAAAAAATCCTACAATAAAACAATGTTTTTGCAATGGATTTCCGGGTTAAGACTTCTCGATCATAATCCTGGTATAGATCAATAATTTAAATTTATAATTTAAAAAAATTTTTTAATACATATATATTTTTTTTTATTATTATTTTCAAAATTTTTTCTTTCTTTGTGTTTAGATTCTGATCATGCTAAATAACATTACATGTGATTGTAATTTCCTTTCTTTGGTAGAAAGCAATGTTCTGGCTAAATTTCCTTTAAATGTTCGAAAGGTACTTATATCTGAGATAACGCAAACTTTACTCCAAGCACATGATCCAAATCTTTTATCATCGATCACTCACGTTAAATGGGTTATGGAAGCTATTGGTCAAGGATTTGCTTTACCTTTAGAAGAAATGACTACTATTACCGCCAATTCAAAAGAATTATATTCTCAATGGTTATTTGAACCAAATTCTAGACCTGCCGCTATTAGAAATGCTACTGGTCAACAGGAAGAACAAGAATTTTGGCAGGTTCGAAATTTTTATTTTTTAATTTTTTTTTAATTCCTTATTCCTTATTTATTATACATTATTTTATGTACATTATTTATATACATTATTTATATGCATTGTTTATTATTTAAGTTATATAAGTTATATATAAATTATATATAAATTATATATGTATATATTTAAAATTACTAATA